TCGTAACCTAACTTGGGAGCAACTTAAGGAAGAAGTGATGGCAAAGTACTTTCTACAGGCTTTGAGAGACTTCAAGGAATCAGAGTTTCTGCAGCTCAGACAAGGAAACAGGTCGCTTACTGATTACGAGACGCAGTTTGAGAAGCTCTCAAGGTATGCTCTGCATTTGGTAGATACAGAAGTTAAGAAGATCAGGAGGTTCGAAAACGGACTACGCTCAGAGATCGGGATGATCATTATGTCCCATCGTTTCACCTCATATCGTGAAATGTTAGAGAGGGCTCATGCTATTTCTTATCAGAGGACTACTTTCCAACAGTATACGAAAATGGACTACGACCGGAGATCGGCATGATCATTATGTCTCATCGTTTTACTTCATATCGTGAAATGTTGGAGAGGGATCATGCTATTTCATATCAGAGGACTACATTTCAGCAATATGCCCAGCAAGGCACAGAGTCGTTTGGAAAAAGAAGGTAGAATGATCAGAGTAAGGACCGACGTAATTAGCAGAATAAAAGACCAAACACTAGGATTCGTATCGGTGGGACGAGTGGAATTGTTACCCTTTGTCCTAAATGTAATAAACTCCAAAGAGGTGAATGCTTACTTGGGAAAAACGTGTGCTTCTGGTGTGGTAAGCCGGAACATATTGCTTCAACTTAAGTCTTCCACATGATAGAGGTCTTGGGTTCGAATCCTGGGGGACGCGTAAAAAAGCCGTGAGGGGTGAGATGGACCTAAGCTCTCCCAAAGCGAAGAATATGTATGATATGAAAACTGTTCCAGCACGAGGTCGGGTCGTTACAACAACTGAAACTTCAACCAAACAAATAATTCAAATATCCAACACTCCGCCCCCCTCACCATTCAAAACTGCCAAACAGCGTGGCACTTTTTACCTTTCATTTATGCCTCAAACTTATAAGAAGACGAACAACATAAATCTTCAAAATCTGTTAGGAAAGCCAGACATCGATGTATCCTGTAGCAAGTTCTTATCAAAATATTCAACTATATCTAGAATATGAACGTGACAAATCCAAAGAACAAAAATTTTGGAGGAAAAAGTAATTTCACCAAAAAAAGGAAATATCATTGGAGTGTGAAGCTGTTAAATGTATAACATAGGATTGGAACAAATCAAACAAGAATATTTTATTTGAAGACAAGGATCCATGGTAATGCAGCCTGTCAAAGAATTTTTAGTCTTCGTGAAAGTAAAATTATCTACCTCTAGAATAACAGGATGTAGCTCTTTAAATGCATCCTTGCTGATTTCTGGTGTTGAACACAAACTACTTTCTAAGTTTCAACAAGTCAAATTTCCTCAACGGATCAACTTGTTCCTCTCACTCGATATCCCATCGATCAATTCACATCCATCCTTCGGCTTTCAATTCAACTTAAGTCTCTCATATGATGAAGGTTTTGAGTTCGAATTCTGCGGGACGCGTCAAAAGCCGTGAGGGGTAAGATGAGTCTAGGCTCTCCTAAAGCAGACAGTGCGTATGATATGATAACGTCTCTGGCGCGAGGTCGGATCGTTACAAAAAAACGCGCACACATGCAAAGTTTGACCTAGCTACGAAGGATGCAGAGATAAAAGAATTTGAAGCTCCAGAGTCAAAAAGTACGTAAGCAGGTACATCGGATAATAACAGAATACCCGTTTTCGAATTTATATTGTTAACTTTGGCGATGGAAGATGCAAAGTCAAGGACATAAACATGTATTTCAAATAATAATAAAATATCTGCAATCACATTTGGATTCTGATCTGCCTCCTGTTGATTCAGTGCGAAAACTCGAGCCTTCACATTTTTGTTCTCGTCCTGATCACCATTCCTCTTCTTTGGAGGCTCTGTGCAGTTTGGAGCAATGTGTCCAGGCTTACCACATCGAAAGCACGCGTTCTTTCCAAATAAGCATTCACCTCTGTGGAGTCTATTACATTTAGGACAAGGGGCAACACTCCCACTCGTCCCACCGATATGAATTCCAGTGCTTGGTCTTTTATTTTGCCAATTGCGTCGGTCCTTACCCTGATCGTTCCACTTCCTTTTTCGAAACGACTCCGTGCCCTGCTGGGCATACTGTTGGAAAGTAGTCCTCTGATAAGAAATAGCATGAGCCCTCTCTAACATTTCACGATATGAGGTGAAACGATGGGACATAATGATCATCCCGATCTCTGAGCGTAGTCCGTTTTCGAACCTCCTGATCTTCTTAACTTCTGTATCTACCAAATGAGGAGCATACCTTGAGAGCTGCTCAAACTGCCTCTCGTAATCATTAAGCGACCCATTTTCCTGTCTGAGCTGCAGAAACTCTGATTCCTTGAAGTCTCTCAAAGCCCGTGGAAAGTAATTTGCCAATCACTTCTTCCTTAAATTGCTCCCAAATTAGGTTACGCTGCTACTCTTCAGTCCTAGTACGTGAGACAGATTCCCACCAGTGACTAGCTGCTCCAACAAACATAAATTCTGCGCATAGTACCTTTTGTGCTTCCGTACAAGAAATGTGTCGAAATATGAGTTCCAGACTTCTTATCCACTCCTCAACAGCCAGTGGGTCGGAATCCCCGTCGAAAGTAGGAGGCTTGTACCTACGAAACTGTTCAACCACTGAGATAGCTCCAAGGACAAACGAAGGTGTATTCTGCTGTGGCGGTGCATTTTGTGGTGGGGGTGCTTGATTCTGTCTGCTCAACTCTTGTACCGCTCGCAATAAATCACGAATCAAATTCGTGTGGGTAGGTGGTGCAATTTCCTCGATAAATTTACAATATATAATACGAGAATGTAGGTGTAATATGTTAGACTTGGTACTAGTATGCGATGGGTGACTTACTATTAAATTCCTTTAGGAAATGGCACCACCTACCCACACGAATTTGATGTGTGAAGATAAGCATGTTTTTCCTCGCTAAATTTACAATATATAATACGAGAATGTAGGTATAATATTTTAGACTTGGTACTAGTATGTGATGGGCAACTTACTATTAAATTCCTTTAGGAATGTGTGATTTATTGCGAGCGGTACAAAAGTTGAGCAAACAGAATCAAGCACCCCCACCACAAAATGCACCACTACAGCAGAATACACCTCTGTTTGTCCCTGGAGCTATCTCAGTGGTTGAACAGTTTCGTAGGTACAAGCCTTCTACTTTCAACGGCGATTCCGATCCACTGGCTGTTGAGTGGATAAGAAGTCTGGAACTCATATTTAGACACATTGCTTGTACGGATGCACATAAGGTACTATGCGCAGAATTTATGTTTGCTAGAGCAGCTAGTCACTAGTGGGAATCTGTCTCACGTACTAGGATTGAAGAGCAGCAGCGTAACCTAACTTGGGAGCAACTTAAGGAAGAAGTGATGGCAAAGTACTTTCTACAGGCTTTGAGAGAATTCAAGGAATCAGAGTTTCTGCAGCTCAGACAGGGAACCATGTCGCTTACTGATTACGAGAGACGGTTTGAACAACTCTCTAGATATGCCCCACACTTGGTGGATACCGAAGTTAAGAAGATCAGGAGGTTCGAAAACGGACTACGACCGGAGATCAGCATGATCATTATGTCTCATCGTTTTACTTCATATCGTGAAATGTTGGAGAGGGATCATGCTATTTCATATCAGAGGACTACATTTCAGCAGTATGCCCAGCAAGGCACAGAGTCGTTTGGAAAAGGAAGTTAGAATGATCAGAGTAAAGACTGACGTAATTAGCAGAATAAAAGACCAAACACTAGGATTCGTATAGGTGGGACGAGTGGAATTGTTACCCTTTGTCCTAAATGTAATAAACTCCAAAGAGGTAAATGCTTACTTGGGAAAAACGTGTGCTTCTGGTGTGGTAAGCCGGAACATATTGCTTCAACTTAAGTCTTCCAAATGATGGAGGTCTTGGGTTCGAATCCTGGGAGACGCGTAAGAAAGCCGTGAGGGGTGAGATGGGCCTAAGCTCTCCCAAAGCGGACAATATGTATGATATGAAAACTGCTCCAGCACGAGGTCGGATCGTTACAACAACTGAAACTTCAACCAAACAAATAATTCAAATATCCAACACTCCGCCCCCCTCACCATTCAAAACTGCCCAACAGCGTGGCACTTTTTACCTTTCCTCAATCACCAAATTTTGAAATTATCACTCCAGCCTTCTACTGGTCTCCACTGACCATATTCTAAATAAACGATTTCAATAGAGAAATGCAGTATTCGGGAATATCAAATATTCCCCCAAATCTCCGTTTGTATAAATCCCAAGGGATGATCGCAGAATTGGGTGCAGCCTTCTGGTGTCAAAGGTGTAGCATGTCTTCTTTGAACAAGGATTGCTGTAAAATTGAGTTTTAGTAAATAGACCACAATCATAACAATATATTTTAGCCGGAAATAAAATCTAGGTCTTTCTAATTCATCCACTTCATTTCTGCTTAGCTGGATTGATGAACCAAAAACAGATATCTTCTAGAACAAATTCTGAAGGGCCTCGTGCTTGTTAGCCAATTCCATAAGCAATTTGATCCTCTTGAAAGAAACATTACTCGGCTTCTGATCCTTGTGTGGATCTGCAAGAAACACCTCTCAGCCTCCTCCAACTTTCCCAGATCACAGAGCAAATCAAGTAAAATATCAGAAACCAAAATGTACAACCCGAAACCCTTATCTACCATATCATTCCATAACTCGAGTGCCATCTCCACCTTCTCCAGCCTCCTCATCAAACGAATACATGATTGTGTATAGGCAAGCACCCCGTCTCCCTCATCCTTATATATAAGCTCCAGGAGCTCCTCAAATCATTTGCCCAATAAAAAGACCTAAAGAACACGTTATAAGTTGTAGCTGTCGGAATCAACCCCTTGCCCACCATTTCATCCATCAACTTATATGCATCTCCTGACCTCTTAGCAATGCAAAAGTTTCGAATAACAGCATTATACACTGGGAAATCCGGATGGCACCCATACTCCTTCATCTCCTTTAAAACCTCCGCAGCTCCGCTGCCTTATCTGGTTGACCCACCAATCCCAACCCTCCAATCAAACTAGTATATGTTATCACATCTAAATCAATCCCTTCCTCCCTCATTTTGTTCATTACCTTAACTCCATTCTCAATCTGTCTTCCCTTACAATACACATCTACCAAGCAATTATAGGACACAATATCTGGCTCAACTCCCATTTCCTTCATTTCCTCAAAAAATGCTTCAGCTTCCTCTGGCGACTTCCATCCAGACAAGAATATTAAAAGTCTGTAAATCCGGCCCAAACTGACACTTCAAACTGTGATACACGTTCCTAGCATCACTCACGCTCTTGTCTTGACACAATGCCCTTAACAAAGCGTTGTAACAACTAACATCAAACTTAAAAACAAGCTTTCTAAACAATTTTAACGACTCAACCGTCTGCCTGACCGAACAAATTTTAGCTATTCTACCCAAAACAACTTGAACAGTCCTCGGTGTTATTAAAGACTGGTTCCTTCTCTCAGTCTCCAACAAAAGGTCCCATATTTCATTGAATTTACGGCTTCTACCAAGAATGTCTAGCATTGTGTCTAAGGAGAATGGTGTATGAAAAAACCCTTTTATTCTTGAAGCAAATTTGAAAAACTCCAACGCTTGTTGTGGGTTGGAGCGAGAAAAACGGACCCTTTTCAGGACCTTATCAATCAAGTCGTTTGAGATCGGGATTTGGGATGTTTTCAGTGAGTTTCTTAAGGGATTGTGGGTTGGATGATGTGGTAATTATGCGGAAGACTTGCTCTACGGCATCATTTGTGGAGGGATAGAGGGGGTTGGTTGTGGAGATGACATAGTGCAGGAGAGGAGAATACCTTTTGATTGACAACAGCAGAAAATTAAGTTGGGATTTCGGAGTCAGGAGAAGCATTGCTGAGTTTATGATTGCGGAGAAATTCAATGGGTACTTTAATCAGTCTAATACGAGAAGCCGAAAGAGGCGACGAGAGGCAGAGCAAAGATTCCAACTTTCAACTGAAATCCCGTCTACGAGAACGACTTCATTTCGTGCTCTTCGAGAAATTTAGAAACTAGGTTAAGCCGTTGTTTGATATAATTAAAATTTTAATTTTAATCACATATTCGCAATTTTTCGATCATATATTTCACCAATTTCTTTTATCAAAATCTATTAAAATTTTAATTTTAATCCCCATCAAATATGAGCAAAATATTCTGCACAACTTTTGCAAAGGTACCCTACGTGACACCACCGACTTTGAATGTATTAATGAGTCGCACTGAATGTAAGTCAGTCCCTTTTTGGTGGTCTTAATTTACTTTGTTTTATTTCTCATACTCATTTTTAACTACATTCACACAATAAAATATTTTACACGTAAACTAGAAATTTTTTCTTACTTTTTAACCATACATTCTCTAAGAAATACTATTCAAAAAGTAGTTTTTTACAATTAGAGATCACCAAACAGGGAATAAATAATAAATATGAATCAAAAGTTATTTAATATTAAATTTAAATTTTCCCACGAACTCCAAATAAGTCAGAAATAATTTTATTTTTTAAGAAATAAATCCATCCAAACATGCTTTTACAGTCGACTATGCTACGTTTGGAATGATTTGATAGTGCTTTTGTGCAAATTGTAAATTTACGGGCCATGAATCTATCTAATTAAAAAAATGTATTGGATGCGTTGATCCATGTGTGTTTACGCGTGGTTTATAATCATACGTTAATTTTTATGTTTATTGAATTTTTAAATAATAATTGTGATTCGAATCTTTGATATTCTCTTATTTTTCACGTGTCAACTATTTAGACATAATACTATCATTCATTTTTACTAAAAAATGGAAAGAAATCTCAAAATTGGAGAAAATTCAACAGAGCATTGCTAAGGGTACATCACCCCATACATAAGGGTCTACACCCCTCTCATATGGGGGGTGGGAGCCGCTCGAATAAAAAAATATTATTTCAATGGGTCTCACCCCTCATGTGAAGAGGGTGTAGACCCTTATGTACAATTAGAATAATTCAATTCAATATCCCCCTCCTCGATTTTGACTTTGGTAGGTGACCGTTACAGCGTAGAGATGGTGGTGCGTTGGTGGAGGATGAGTGGCAGAAGATAATTACATTTTTAAATATTTTTTAATCTTCCCTTTTTCTGATTTTTATTTTTATTTTAAATAAGAACAATAGATTGAAAATTAGTCATTTTTAATTTTTGAATAGAATAGAAATCATCTATTTCCTTAAATTTGTGTCTATTTTTCAAAGATAGGGGACAAGGTAGACCCTTGTTTTGTATGAAAAATTGTGTCTATTTTTCAATGATAGGGGACAAAAAATGTGCACATTGCTTCATTTTTGTACGAAAATTTGTGTCTATTTTTAATTAATCGTTTTTGCAATGTTTACATTTTTCTCATTTCTCCAAGAATACTTCTCAACCATACATCAGCAGCTAAAAAACAGTAAAATACATATATACAAATCCAGAGTTCATTTTCTATTTACTTCCATGGGTTCTTCAATCCAAAAGACAGGCTTGATGAACACAAATAATGAGGATTTGGTTGGAGGGTGGGTGGGTGGGGTGGGGGTTCCCCAACCATCAAGCAAAAATTTACAAAAGATTTACAGATTTACAACTATTCAAAATTCCCTTTTGGATTTTGTTATTTCTCTCCTCAATCTTTTACACACCGCATAGAGAAGAAGTATTTTTCATCATTTCTTTGTATAACTTAGATATGGACCTTGAGCAACGGTTAAAACATCTGGTCTCTCGGCTTGGCTATACGTCAGACAACTACGAATAAAATCCTGCAGAAAATTTAAATACAACCATAGATTATTCGTTTAGAACACCGAAGAAACTACATTTTTACAAAATGCAAAGGAACGGTTAAACTTTTAAACTGAGGAAGAAATTAAAACTAAGCAAACATAGGTTTATATTGGGCAGGACTAGAACTTCAAAAAAGAAAAAATCATCCAATATAAGTCGAGAACCAACTTTCGGATTCCCATTGTCAAAGGGAAGCAAAAAGAAAAAGGAGAATAACAAAAGTGCGTTTCTAGAGATATTGAATGTGTAAATGTGCAAGACAAGAATCACAAGCAGTAACAAGACGAGAGATTAACAAACGTTCAGTGACTAGTCTGCAATAAAGTTTTAACAAAATTTAAGTTCAGTAACCAACTTGGAACAAAATGAAGTATAATGATCAATATGAACTCGACAAAAGTACAATGACACTGGTGTTTTTAACTTAAAAGAGTATATTGTGTACCTTCGCCTCATTTGATGCGGATGGCCTTGAAGGAAAGTCTACCTTACGGGCCTTGATAATGGTGTCTTCACGTAGAATTTTCTCTTGCGTCTGGTCATGTCCAAAAGGGCGTCTGCCAAATAGCATTTGGTAAAATAGAATACCAACCGACCAAACATCAACCTGTTTCCAGAGACATTCAAGTAGGGTTGATAATTAGGCCAGGTGGTGCCAGAACATTTAAAAGCTTTGACAAGTATTATGCCACTGTAAACGAGCCTACACCATGACAAACCATATGTTTGTCTAAAGCCAGGAAAAATTAGCACAGGTCTTACAGTGTTAGGCCTTTTATTCCTTCTAGCTTGCCCATAATTAAGCGTGTTCGGTTAAGCTTGAAAAGTTTACTTATAAGCAAATAAGTAAGTTTTAAGATATAAAAGTTTTTTATTGGGCAATGTTTGAAATAAGTTACTTAATTTGACAATAAGCTAAGAGTTACTGTCATAATATGTTTTAACTCTATTTACATAAAACAGAAAAAAGAAAACATGTGCAAACATGTTTGGCAATAAAAAGTAACTTTCACTTTTTCTAAGCTTAGTCTAGCATGCTCCCAAATATGAAAAGAACAGTGTAACCAACCTTTGAGGATATGAGAGGCGTCTTGTTTAGCTCAAAGCATTCTGGAGGCAGATACCTGAGATGATGGCAAAAACTATGATGAACAGAAGAATATGTAGAAAAGCAGCAGCGTTCTAATACAAAGTCCAAAATGCAACGTTACAATTTCAATGAACAAGACTAGATAAATTTTAATATTTAGACTTATTTATAATCTAATGTACAGAACAGTCATCAGAAAGCCATCAGGAGAATTCTTCTGCTTTTGATTAGAACAGAACTGGAGTACAAGTGGATAAGGGCCCATATAAATGAATTATTTTTCTCCTTTTCCTTTCCTGCTAGTAACTTGGATTCAAATGCAGGGGTTAATTCTACTTTAAATGAGATTTCCAATTTTAACTTTGACCTCAGATAATGAGATGCCCTTCTCTTTTCTTTCAAGAAGTAATCTCAGAAAATGAGACAACTACCATTGATTTAGCGACCATGAGGGATAGTTTTGGACATACAAACAGGAAAATGGATAACATGACCCAAAAAGTGAAGGGGCATTGCTTCCCAGGGTAGAATAGAGTCGTATTGCACATATAATACAGAAAATTCCTTTAATCATTTTAGGTTATAAAAAGAAACAAATAGTTCAATGCATTAGCACAAAAAATGCCTGAAATTGGAGAAGGAAATGCAGAATAAGAACAACTGCATGGAAGCCACATGACAAAGCAAGACACTCCAATGCTGACATCTACTATACTTCCACAAAAACGAAGTCCAATACTAAACGCATAAGTTCATATTTCGTAGGCAATACAAATAGGACTAGACAACACGATGAACAAGATTTTAGCTTCTTTTATTTCCTTAGTACTATCCAGTACTATTCAATCCTTCATGCCAAACATGTAATAAATAATTCATTACTTACCAATAAGTTCCAGCACCTTGAGACGTAAGCTCCATTCCCTGGGATCCCACATCATCCTCCACTATCTTGCTAAGGCCAAAATCAGTTATTTTAGCGAAGCCAAGCTCATCAAATAAAACATTTCCAGGCTTCAAATCATAATGGATAATCTTCTGTGATCTTTTGTTCAGGTAAACAAGGCCTTGAAAAATCTGGACAATAATGATCCTTGCTTCTCTCTCTGGCAATAGAGGTGTTGCTTTAAGAACTCCATCAAGATCCTTGCCTGATGGAAAGAATAATATTAGTGAGTCTCGAAAGGTGATTCTATTGAAGAACTGTGAACTTTTTTCTCTTCGGGAGAAAAAAATCACATTGATGATATAACCGAGAAGAGTGCTCATACCACTGCAATACTCTAATACGGTGCAAAATGTATTTGGATCAATCTCAAAAATATCCCAAAGGCGAACAATGTGCGGGTGCACTAATGTTTTGTGAATGTTGTACTCCCTGATTGCATGTCGTATGTAACTTTGCTTCTTATCTTCGCTCCACTGAGCATGCAAGCCATGAAGCTTACACGCAACATATCTATGCTCCACCAAGTCAAAAGCCTGCCAGAAACGCAAATTAGGAATCAATACAAGAACGTTTGACCTTGTGCTTCTGATACAGAAAGAAGAAAGGTCTAGAATGTACTATGATCTGTGGATCCTTTTTTGGCACTTCCCATTCAATAAAAAATGTTCAAAGCGTTAGTCCAAAACATAAATTGCATAGTCCTGACCTTATAAACCTCACTGAATCCTCCTTTTCCAAGAAGGTTTAGAAGAGCATATCGATGGTTTAAAATCTGAAAATTGTTAAAGCGGGAACCATCCTCATCTCGAATGCGTTTCATTTCACGTATAAGTCTTCCTTTCTCCAATTCATATCGATCTCTGTCACGCATTACTGTTTCTTCCTCCTGAAAGAAACACAATTACAATAGTATTGCATGGTAAAAATGTAACAAGAATCAATCCTAGTTGAAGCAAACTTACACGCTTGATGCTGCCTAGACGAGATTTGTACACTTCATCCAAAAAGAGAACATCATCATGAACTGTCTCCGTGTCACTTCCATCACCTTTGTCTGCAATAAACATTTAATTATATTATTACTAAAACATGAAAAAACTTGATAATTCCCATTATGCTCACTCCCTAAGTGTACTTTGACAGAGCCAAACAAAACCCCAAGGAAGTGTTCCCTTCGGTTGCAAGTGGTTTCACATAGTGCCTGACTTGGTGAAGGCACCATTGCCAGAAAGCCAACAAATAGAGGAGGTTCGTAAAGCTACAGAGGAAGCTGGGTCCTTTGGAAAAAAATATTCCATTGTAGAGACAAAATAAATAACCTCGAGATAAATCCAAAAGCAATTCCTTGTTCAAACAAAATTTGTTCTCCAATAACTACAATCTTAATGATATCAAGTGTCACGACCCAATTTTATAGTGGCTATGAATCCATGTAGAGACACGTGTTCATTCCTTACTAAATTAGCACCATCATCATAACATTATTACTAAAGAAGAACTCTACCTGATTGACGTTTCTTCAGTAATTTTCGCTGCCTTTCAACAGCTTCCTTGTTCTCCAACAAGTTTCTCTGTGGTAAGAAAAGTTCAATTGATGGAAAGACCTTGTAAACAAAATTAATAGTTTGATTTGTGATGGCAGATGTCAAAGTAACATGAAACGAGAATACTTAGTGAGTAGGATATTAGTTTGAGTTATATTACGTCCACAATTGTATTTAAGCACACAATAAGATCAGGAATAAACTGGACAAATCAGTCAGCTTGATCGTTGTTATAGATATAATTAGTGTAATAATTACACTAATTATATCTATAACAATCGTATTACAATATATATAACATCATAGTAATAGTAAAGTGCATAATTCAGTCTATGCTGCAAACTACAACAGACCAAAGATAATGTGAAAACTGTACTTGATACCTACCATAAAACTTAATCATTAGATATTTTAATCTCACAACTAAATATAAATTAAGATTTTTATTTATGTTGAGTTTCAGGAATTAGGTGCCCAATTTCCTTGCTTCCCAGTATGATTTTAAACACTTCTGAACTAAATGATTATTGTGAACGCAAATGAATTCTTCATTAACTTAGCAACAGTGAAATATAAATTCAGGTTTAGTTCTTTTATCTTCCATTAAAGAATGCAAATTAATTCTTTTGTTAGTCAAAACAGTGTTAAAGAAAGCCATATCAAGAGTGAGTGAAGTTATAGAGAAGTGTCAGCTGCGAGCAAGCAGCCTTTATTATCATATTTTAGAATATAAGCTGGCAAGCTTCTGAAGAGGAAGCGAAACTTGGCAGCTCGATCACGTTTTTCCATGCCAGTAAATTTAGGTCATTGAGAAATATTTTGCACAGATAGTGTTTATCTGTGCATCCAAGATATTATCTATTGGCCTATTTTGGCAACAGGATCCACAGTGAAAAAGCATATCTCCTTGCAAGATCATGCATATAACTGGTGAAAAGTTCATTGACCACAAAATATTGCATTCTAGATATATAAACAAACACAAGAGTAGAGTTATTAATTAGCCATAAAACAGGAAGGACCATACAAGGTGAGTATTGAGATCCTTAAATGCTTGTCCATCCTCCCATGCCTCAGAGATGACTGTCCCAGCCCTGTCCAGTTGATAGAAGAAGAAAGAGGTGTAAGCAATAGGAGATCAATGGATGACACAAAGCAATAAAAGAACGTAATGAAAATTGATATTGAATATCAAAAAACAATGGGAGATAATTATGTAGATGAGATGAGGAAAAAATGAAGATATCGAAAGGAAAACTTTGCACTGAATGTTTGTAAGATAATTACTTCAGAGTTCAGCTCCCTTGTCAACTGAAAGTAAACTAAATAATTGCACAAGATTTAACAACTTCCAGCCAAGAACTTAAATATTTTTTCTTAAAAACATTATTTACCAGAAAGCACGAGAAAGTGTAAAAAAGAACAAAAATTTTGAGAATGGAAGTTTCACTTGCGAAAAACCAACAATTCCTATGGATCCCAATTTCTTATGCAGGCTGGAGGACAAGAGAGCAACTCCAGCAACCAAATGCACTAGAAATGACCTCCAAACATTTCATGACGCATAAGTGCATAACCAGAAAAATAAGTTGGAAAGCATTAAGGGCAATATGAAAGTGGAAAAGAAGCAAAAGAAAGAGCAAGCTTCGTGCCTTTGCATATCGGATGAGTAAAAATAATTAACAGTGCACATATAACACTATATCATACTAGTTTTTATTTTTGCTTAGCTTTAGTAATAACGCTCGCATTTTAAGTCTTCAGATCTCTCTAAGACACAATGTGGCACAATAAACCATTCAGCATCTCAATATTTCTCCCCCCCTTTTTTTTGTGATATTGATTCCTTCCAGGGTAAAGACTATAATCAGTTAGCTAAAGCACTTAATTGTACCCTATTTACATTTTACACTGGGGGTACTCAAATTTCTGGGTGATCAACCCAGCACACTTGGTGATGGTAGGCATCGGTTAGGTAATTTTACCAATCTCAGTATCCAGCCACCTAGGGAAACCATCTATAACTGATCTAATTTGTCAAACGTGGCTAGTGTTAAGAAAAAGGGTTCCAAAATAAAAGAAGCATAAAATGTGAAGCATTTCAATTTACTTAGATGAGTTCCATAACTGTAAAATATTCTCTGAAGTCAGACAACCACCTCATAAGATCATGCTTATGAGCTGTTAAAAAGTGTTTGATGCCAAAAAATATCCATACTACTATTTGTAGATTTTTATATTCACCACGGAGCTACTCAATGATAATCATGCCAATCTGAAATCATACTAAAGTACATATAAACAAATGACGTATCACCCATCATTTATAGCATTTTGCAAGGTAAATCATACTCTTATAAACAAGTCAAGCCATTATTCAACAAATAAAGGATGTATGCATTGAAAAGGAGAACGTTAATGCATATTTTGCACGGTAATGTCCAACTTCCAATTACACAAACAATGAAAATAACAAAATGCTCGACTCAAAAGGTAAATAAAATTCACATAGATTCATTAACTTCAAAAAAAAACACATGTTGCCTTCTTCACTAAGCACCAGTAAAATGGTTCATAGCTTTTTTTCACACAGCCACAAGGTACACATATTTCCATGGACCAAAGTGGAGACACGCTCTAAGCTTTTCTGTTTTCTCACACATTCTTCTTTTTCTGCCCAAATAAGATAATAAGGACAGCTAACTACTATAAATAGAAAAGTGAAACATAAAATGTTTGAAGTACCTGACTACTCCCACATTACCAAGTCTCAAGGAATCTTGGCGTACTTTCATCCTTGCTTCTTGTCTCTCGGCTTTCGAAATAGATATCAATAGATCAGATATTATTTTCATTCTCTGCAACAATAAAACACACAAATAACTAATTGCTGGCAGTAGTGAACCAACATATACACATCATCAATCGAGTTCTTTTCTTTACTTGACACGAAAATTGCACCATACATGAAACGTCGGAAAGAATGACTATCCCACTATGCGATTTTTTGATTGCATCCCCAATCAGCTACATCCAATTTTTATAAGCCTGATATTTGTATATGAAATTTTTAAACTCAGATATTGGCAATAGAGATGCACAATAAAACAAAGCTTTCAACTCACAGGGGCAGCAATCTTCTACACAGTTCTAAGCCCATCACGAAACAGGCCACTAGATTTATATCTTATCAACTTAAAACCATTTAGATAGTAGAACACAGTAACAATTTTATGCTCTATTTACATAACTTCGCATAACACCAAGAAACTAAAGAGGTTAGGAATATCTTCATGCCCCAATATAAACATAAGAATTATTCATAATTTCAAACAACAATTAGTTGCTTCTCTACCTACACAAATTGAAATTTTCTTTTCCCCCTCACCCCCGACCAGCCAAACAAACTTTGGCCGAATTTAAAGTAATGTTTCTTACTAGAAAGGTAAAAACTAACTGCTCAAAAGATGTTAAAAGCAGATTGGAAAAAAAAACCTTTGGCTTCATCTGCTGTTCATAATCTTTAAGATCCTTTAGTTCCTGTCCCAAATAGAATAGATATGATAATGCAATTTTGCATTGAAATAAGAAATGATCACTCAAATCCAAACTGCTTTTGAATTCAAATTACATGTACACCTTTTCTAACTGTTGACATTGATTTTGACGATCAGAATTCTCTTCACGTGACTTTGTTAGTTCCTCCTCCAAAGCTGCCACTTTTGCACGTAAAGAAGTGACCTCCTAATTTCATTGATACCATAGGCAGGCAGTTGGGGAAATAGTTAAAATAAGCTCTATTATCTCTTCCTAATATCAATGACAGTTTAAAAAGGAGCAGACTTCATAAGCAAGGAAAAAAACAAAAGTAATAAGGATGTCACAACAAATGAATACCTCTGAGGAGGTATGCCTATCAAGCCGAAGATGCTCATTAGAAAAACACTCATGCATCTGTCAGATCAGGTAGGAGCAGAAGAATACGTAAGTTAACTGTCTTCATAATAATTTAGCTCATACTGTAAAGTTGCAACCAATTCTGCACATTAAATGGATGCGTTCAACTATCATGTAGCATAAATATATAAAATAAAATAAAAATGCATCCAAGGCGTAGACTTTTTGTTCTCATAACCAAATGATTAGGCTTAAGCAGCACCATTGTGCTCTCATACTTGAAGCACCTTGAAGTCTAAAGTGGAAAATGAAATCAAGTTGCAGGACAACAAATTATCGTGGAAAATTAGAAAATTCAAAACCAAATCTACAACATAGATATTAATGGGAATTTGTTAATAATTGCTTTTTCTTAATACACAAAGGTCACAGAAGTTGTCGAGATAATTTTTACTCGGTGATACATAAAGGCTAAAGCACAAGGCGATCTTATAACTGAGATCCAAAATAACAACATAAAGTCACAGAGAGGACAGGATATAACAATCACGATGCATCTAACAAATCAGGAGGACAATGTTTTCGTCTACCAGTAAAACAGGAATATATATGGAAAGGGAGAAACTTCAAAATATCGTGCATCAATATAGTAAGTAAAAAGAAAGTCAGAGGAAATGGAAGTAAAACAATTGCCAGTTCTGTTCTGTCCTTTTTCGACATACCGATTTAGCGGAAGAAGAGAAATTAATGAATGAACACATTCATACACTCATTGATTCTGAGAGTGCCGAGAATTTGATATGGAATTGAGAGAAATCTCAAAGAAACATTGTTCAATCAACTGAAAATAAGAATTGCTGTCTTTTTTTATCGAAACCCTAAAAGCCTATATTGATGAAATTAAAATCCAAACCCTATTTAATGAGAAATAACAAAAAGAGACCCTAAAGACGAAATGACAGGATAGGCATATAAGAAAAATAAGGAAACAAATGAACAAGGCCGTCAGCACATTCACTTATGACTGTATTGATCACCAAAAAGTTATTTATGCAAACATATTCTCGGAGTCAAACTACACGGCAGGATAGCATTCAGAAGTTAAAAAATGTCATGATATAATAAGCAGACCTTCTGTGAGATTTCAAGTTGACCGTTGGATAGAGAAACTGCTGTCTGATCACAAACTCTGGAACCATGCCCCTTGCCTGAAGCAGAACTTCCCCTACCCCGACCTCGTCTTTTTTTATTTACATCCGGACCCACCTTGTTGGAGTCTAATTCTTTAATAACTTGTCTTGCATCAGCAGCAGCCTGGTTTAAATTTCGTGAAACATTACTATACACATTGTTTCCCAAATAGTAAAGTCCTATGATGCACCGACACACACATGTGTCCGACGTGACACGTGTCGGCGTGATTTTTTGAAAAAGTACTGACAAGACATGCAGTCGACACATTGATTAAATTATTTAAAATTCTTCATTTATATAGTATAAATTCAATTTTATAATAGTAATTAAATTTTTTTTTTTAAATCTTTTAAATACGAGTATCTATTTGTTATTTAATAATAATTTTGAGTTAAAAATATATAATATTTCTAATAAATAAAGAAAAATGACTATGGTAGAGTATCTAATAAGTGAGAGTTCGACACGTGTTGGATACGGACACGCTACCTTATTTGAAGTGTCCGTGCTATAGAGGTAAAATCTAAGAAGAATGCTAAAACTACCTTAAGAAGGCATACACCAAACTTAGAGATTAAGAGATTATAAGGAACAAAAATAAGAAGAAATGGCTTATTTAATTTTAGGTAGACTACAACATAAGATGAGATTCAACAGCAGCAAAAAGCCAACCAATTATAAATCTCCATTCTTACCTCAACATGTTCAAATAAAGCAGAGTCTTCAACTTTATGGCGCTTCTGGGTGGTCGCTTGTATGAGAAACTCCCTTCCATTCTGGCACATGAGTACAGATATGTAAAAACGGCTGTAATAGAGTAAGTCTATTGAACGCATTTATTACATTTTTCGGATAGAAAAGATAGTCAACATAGATTCTAAATGGAATATCCCCAAAAGCACCAGCAATGCAGTTAGGAGTGGAAAAAAATCAGTTAACTAAGAAATATGAGATGATGTAAAATAGCAAGAACAAAAGTAGAGGGAGAAGGGAACCATAAGAAAGTATTCCATCACGTACAAAAAGATATTAAAACAAAGGAAATGCAGTTAGGAGAGGAAAAAAAATCAGTTAACTTAGAAATATGAGATGATGTAAAATAACACCAACAAAAGTGGAGGGTGAAGGGAAACATAGGACAGTATTCCATCATGTGCAAAAAGATATTATAACAGTGAAATGCCATTAAATGACTGATAACTAGTAACTGGTCCCTGAATTGTGAAAAAACTCAACTAACACAGAAACATAATAATAGATAAAAGTGGGTATGAAAAAATGCAATGTAACAATGAAAAGCCCTAAATAGTACTAATAACTAGTAACTGATCAAGGGGGAGTCAAGTCGTCCATTTTGGTGCAGAAACACAAATGGCTTTATCTTAAACATTTGATGCACGTACGAGACTAATAGGTCCACAATTGTGAGGGTAGTTGCCGGTATTGGAGATACAATCCACTACAAGAAAATATAAGTGGAAGCACAACTAAATTCTCTTCTAGTGGCAACGGTGTTCAAAAATATAAGATACGCTACAATGGTATTCGAAAATATAAGATGCACATGGACGTTTGGCTAACTTAACTATCTTTAGCTTTTATATTCCTTCATCTACCAATAAAAGCTAGCTATATTTCTCTCCTCTTTTTCGATTTGCATTTCCTTACATAAGGCATTTAGAGTATCTAGAAATGTTCTTAATGTATTATTGTGTGAACCACTTTTTCCAATCATGTTCTGATAATCAATCATAGTTCTAAAAGACGTAACAAATTATCAAGTGTTCTTCCTTAAGTAGAAGAAAGGGAGAAAAGGAATACCATTTATAAGTCCAACCTAGATCTCGATCCATTTCATTGTATTCTTCCTAAGCTATCCAATGCTTACTGAGGTACATACTTTCGATGCATTTGAAAGGAGCCAACGGTACAGGGGGTGCTGTCTCTCGCAGCCCCCTACCCTGATACCCCAAAAAGGTTCATTTAAAAACAAATTTGAAACTTGAAAATCAACTAGTATTAACACTTGGGGTAAGTAAGGTTGAGTTCACTTCAAGAATAACTGCACATCTAAGATTTCACCACCAGCTTCTCAACATTGTGCGAGCCAATGTAAATGTTTGTAGTTATATACTTATATATCATTCAATTATCCAAAATATTTTTGATGAGACCATGTAATGCTCAATATGTCCAGTTCAAGCCAAATAAGTAATCATGGCATTGGAATCCCATTCAAAGTGAATTCGGAGACCCCCAAGTTTCATTCCACAAAGATTGCAGTAGTTCAAATTTTCCAAATACTCCCAAACAAAATTTTGTTTTGCCTCTGCTCCTCACAAACATGAATAGATGCCGCTCATTAAAATTTGATTCCACATTTCATGTCCATGTATAAATATACTAAAAATATAGAATTCCAAGACTGAATTCAAGTGCTAAATCAAATTTGTGCTTATGGTACCTTTACAAATATCACTATTTAATGTCATTCCATGTAATAAGCAATTATATACAATAATCAAAAGAACATTTATTTGGAACAAGCCTAGTTTTTTCTTGCTTGCTGTCATGGTCGAACCACATTCTGTCCACTATGTAGAAGCGCAGAATTTGATAGCTAAAATTCTGATTTCCAGCAGCTTGGAATTGGGTGCCAAATAATCGTACAGCAGTTTTTATTTTGCACTTCATTTCCTTTTCTAAAATAAGAGTACAATTCTAAGACAATGAGACTATATTCCGTGAAAAGAAAAGCAACCTTAGATATTATGAACCACTCCACAGACTGTTAGCATATACAAAATCCAACAATTTACTAAGGTCAGTTTTTTAGTACTTTTGACAAAATAAACATCAAATGCACGTCCTAAAAACAAAAATATCCTACATCCACTATATAAGCATGACAAAAAAATAAGATTCAAAAATTCCAATTTTCAGGTTCCATTCAGCGACCTAAGAAGTATCACAATTATGCCAACAAAATAAGCTTTGATGTAAATTTTAAAAAAAAAACACTCTTCAAATACTCACGTCATCGTCAGAATCATCACTTGAGACCAGCGACTCGGAGGGCAGGCTATCGGGTGGAGTACCAAACTTGACCGCGGCGGACCACGACGTGGACTGGACCTGGGTCTGTACTTGGGCTGGTGCAGCAACTGCAGAGGACGTCTTGCCCACCATTCTGGCCTCGAGTTTCGCAATTTTCGTGGGCAGAGACGATTGATCCGATTGATTGGATGAATTCGAAGAGAAATGTATAAGCATGTCCTCTGACATTGCTTATTTATACTATTTCGTTGCAATTGCAGTCAATGCAGGTAAAAGCTAACCGACTGAATTTTTCTCTCTTTAAATCATCCACGAAAACAGTACTTGCAGACCCACGAAAGAAAAAATAAATAAATAAATAGAACACAAAAGGAAGGGGAATTTTTTTGGTATTAGAATGAAAGCAAAGATTTTTCAAAGACCCTTTAAAGAAAAAAGTCGATTAAGCGATGAGATAGTGACACAAGTCTATTCAGGTTGAAAATTCAACTGTGTGTGTGTGAGAGAGTGAGAGATTAGGGTTGTGATGGATTTTTGCAAGGGTGAAATGAAAGCAAAATGAAGAGAAGGGAGGGGAAGTGAGGTGAGGTGAAGGGGGGAATATTTTTGAACTCCGAGACTCGTTCTGAAGAGAATTGAGAAAATTGAGGATTTGTTCAAACTTGATTGTGTGAGAGCTATTTTGATCTGGCAATCAGGTCAAGATCTGTTTGCAGACTTGCAGTGTGTGTAGGGATTGTAAAAGTGGATTATAGTGTCTTTAAATATTCGAATTCAATGGGTCGTGGTAGACTAACTCTTGAGTTCTGTAGTCTTTTTAGATCGATTCATTCAGCCTTGTTACGTATGTTATTGAGTTACGTAGAAAATTAGTTTAAAACAAAATGAATATCAATAAAATCGCAAGTCTATTGTATTCATCAACCTGACATGAGTCAAGCTAAGCTCATGCGACAAAGGATTAGACCTGCATCAACTCGTGTGAGCTTTCTTTGTGTGGAATCTTGTGTATGATTGCTGATCAGTCAAACCAATCAATTTTACATTTTGGAATCCGTAGTGTGACCATCCAAAGTAACAAACAAACAAAAATTGATAAGAGTGGGATGTATATTCTTAGGTAATGGTTTGAAGTAGGCGAGAAAATATAAAAGCTATATAGTTGATATTGAAATATAAAGTTTATAAGTTTAATATTGTCTTTAACTTCATATCATCTTATTTCCTTGGTTTATCCTTATTGATCCTCAGGGTGAAAAAAATTGAAATTTCAACGACAAGATTTAATATATTGTTTATTTGTACTTCGTGAACGTTCGTTGTTCTTGCACATCACATTTGCCTAAAGTCTCAAATGACTTCACATTTTAAACGCAAGATCCATTAGAATTGATCTACATTTTTATCTTGAATCAACATTTCTAGATAAAATAATAAAAACAAGTGGTGACAAATGGGTCGGGCCAGCTTTTTGGAAGCTTGGCCCACGCATTTGGCTATCCCTACTGGTGCATTAAGCACAGTAGTTACTGGGTTGGGTCGGATTGGGTCGTAGGCCATATATTTATTCAAAAAATTATTTGTAAAAACTTTAATAACAAATTTGTTAAATCTTCCTCTTTTTGAACTTGAGTCTAATTGCGATTCGATGTAGGTGCAGTAAAATTGTACTTGAAGGTCCATTTGACGTAGATTTTGTGAAAAAATGATTTTTTAAATTGTGTGATTAAAAGTGTATGAGAAAAGTGGTTTTGATGCAAGTATCGGGAAGGAATTTCTGTTGGGTTCTTTTTCTGTGAAGAATTAGTGGAGGCATGAGCATAGAATTGATTTTATTGCAAATATTATTCCCCTCTGCAGACCTAAAAAGCATGGTGATTGGTTAAAAATAGATGTTTAATGTATGGGAAGATTCAGGTATTCTTCGTACAGTAGGAATCCGCGAGGGAGAAGAGGAAGCCAAGAATGGAATTGGAAATAGTGTAAATTACACTCATCCATGATTTTTAACTTCTCACTTCAAAAATAAGGTTTCAAATTTTTTTGTTAAAAAATTAGATAATAATTCATCTTTTAAATATTAAGGCCCCGTTCGGGAGGGATTAAAATCCAATTAAAATTGAAAATATGGCCGTTATTGGGTCCCACTCATCTAATAAAAGTCAACAATAACGGCTATATTTTCAATTTTAATCCGATTTTAATCCCTCCCATACAAGGCCTAAATATTTTATAGGCCTACCTGAAGGATCATCCAACCAGCCCA